ACCAAAATAAAAGACTAGGGGTATCCTTGATAGTTGGGTACATTCGACGAACTTGCACCAGGAGCTGGATTACCACCGCCACGCACAACACCTTAAGGACATTTACGACGGTCATGTCCTGTTTGCGAGCATATGCCACATTTACGCGCATAAACGGTGTCACCAATATCCATTTGGTTCCGTATACGCGTTCTCTTTTGCACTTGCAGCTTGCGCAAATAGTCCTTGTTACATACCATCTAAAAGGTTCCGGCGGCCAATAATGCTCAGCACCTAATGGTTGCAACTTCACACTATACGCGTCTATGTATGCAGCAACACTGTATTGCCTATCAATATAGTTTGTTGCCCCATATCCAACTTGTTGAAAGCACTTCAACGCATGTGCGCACGGAATATGGTAGATGGTCCATTTCCCACATGAACATAACCTTCTATTTTCATTCACCGTCTGTAGATTATTCCCACGATGTCCACGGATAGCGGTCTTAACTTCAAAAATACCTCGTTCATGATCGTACTGAATAAATGAATGCCACTGTGCTCGCCTCCTCGACCTTTCAAATCTTCTCATGGGTATTGGCATAAATTAAACACCCCTGTCCATCAATGCTGATGCAGCTGCATGCCTTTCAACAAACCTCTCCGCACTCTGTTTGAATGTCATGCGGACCATGGCAGTGACAGGNTATATTTGCTTGTTGGTGATGACTCCCAGATGGACCACCGTGGTCCAATACTCCAAAAATACACATATTCCAACTAGGGGCGGGGTCATAACTTGTAAAATTCGTATCCGGACGGTACCCNGGCCGGATCGCTTCCATATGCCTCGTGAATTTGCACTGCTGGTGCTCAGTTGCAGCCATCCACATTAAGTCATGCAATGCCTTGTCAGGATATTTCTTCTGGAAATTGGCCTTCANATTGAAGTTTACTAGTCGTCTTATTGATTATATAAAGTCGAAAAATTATTTTGCAGCTGCTCATTTGCTGGTGGTGACAAGTTTAAATCAAGGCAAGCTCTTTCATCAGCAATTTGTCCGGCAAAAACTGCTCCAGAATAACCACCCGATGACGGGGGTTATCCCTACTATGCACGCCCTCATTATTGGGAACGTCTTCCACCTTGACGTACATTTCCAATAATTTTATTACAATAAATTCCCTGTATTCATCCGGAATCCGCAAAAAATCTCTAAGGGTTTCATCATCCTCGATGTTAAATGTTAAACTCAGAATAATAAGCAAACCTCTGCGGAGTCACTGAATACGGAAATCTATCGGTTATTTTAAGGTTAACCGAACGCCACCTCTCATTCATTTTTTTACGTAACAACGATACCAATTTATCGTACTCCATAGTAAGCGGCAATTTAACATGACATTGTGGAGGTGAGCTATACCTCACAGAGTTATTCTCCAACACAACCTCACCCCCCCAATATAGTGAAACCCTTATTTTTGCCACTTCAGACATTGTAAAAAAATGATTGATAAGAAAAAGAGAGAAGTATGAACGTAAGTTTGAAGATTGAATGAATTTTCATAAAATTGAAACGCCTTTAAATAAGGCAAGTCCGAATATAAAACGCGGTACAATACTACGTTTTATGTATTGAATTATTATTATGTCAGTTCATTATTGGTGGGCCAAAAACCAGAGTAAAAATGCAGTATAATACTGCGAACAGCTTTATAAAACGCAGTATTATACTGCGAATTACAAAAAAAAATTGATGTAAAACGCAGTACGGTACTGCGAATTACAAAAAAATAAAAAAATAAAGTAAAACGCAGTATGGTACTGCGTTTTACTTTAACGGACTAATTTCCGTTAACGTAGTTCGCAGTATAGTACTGCGTTTTACTTTATTTTTTTATTTTTTTGTAATTCGCAGTATAATACTGCGTTTTATAAAGCTGTTCGCAGTATTATACTGCGAATTACAAAAAAATAAAAAAATAAAGTAAAACGCAGTATGGTACTGCGTTTTACTCATTTATGTAACTTTTTTTAAGCAGTATAAAAGTGATTTTTGTCCAAAAAAACATCAAAAGCGTTTTGGACTCGTTGATTATTGAGAGACTGAGAGCCCGTTTGAATTAGCTGATTTGAAATAGTTGATAAGCATTAGGTACTGAATAGCAATTTTAAGTGCTAAAACTGATTTAATAAATAAGCAGTTACGTGTTTGGATACAAGTGCTGAATTAATAGTAAGTTATTGCAGTATTTGATAAAAAAGTGCTGATAAGTTCTTTTTCTGTTAAAATGACTTAAATAACCTTAGAACTGTTTACACTTATAAGAGCGTAAATTCTTCAAAATTTTAGATTCGAGATCGATTCAAATACAAAATATTCTATTTGTCATTTTATTTTAAATATAATCGTGTTTAGATAAGATAATATTTATGATAAATATAATATAGTTTATGATAAGCATATAATCATACGTTATAATAATAAATTGACAAAAGTTTTTCAATAAAAAATAAACCTAAATAAGACAAAATATTTGAAGAGAAACAAACACTGTCTTCATCAGCGCAACACTTCTAGAGTAATACACTAAAAATTTGATATGTCCTCAGTTATTATGTACAGTTCAAAAATTAATACACAATCACATAGATACAAATATGCAAAGGAATAGAGAATTTGATTGACTTAAATAGTCAATGAGAATTGCAAACTTGAAGAGGCCGGGGATGGGGGGAAGGGAGGTGTTAGGTTGAAAAATTACTTGAGGCAGTGAGTATCGATCTATGAGTTTTGTTCTAAAAAAGAATATTTTAAGGATAAAATAATAAAAGTCTTGGTCAAACTTAAAGTGCTTATAAGATAAAAATTCATAAGATGGGGGTAACCAGCTTATAGCTTTTGACTTATAAGCACTTTTAACTTTACCAAACACGTAAATAAGCCGAAAAGTGTTTTATAAGTTAGTTTGACCAGCTTATAAGCTTAGCCAAACACCGCGTGAGTGATTGATCGAAGATTTTGGTGTTTTCTCTCTCGATTGTTTAGAGAGAAATCTTCAGTTCCACCAATTTTGGCTCCCAATTAGCACGTTCAAAATCTCTGTGATTTATTTTATCGTATTTTATTTTATGAAAAATTGATCTTTACATTTTTTTATATTATCGTATATACAAACTTACAAGTGGAAGTGGTACTCTAATTAATGATTGGTAATAATTTTATAATGTTCACATAAAGCAGTGAGATTCAATTAGTTGCAAAGTCATTTTCCACCTTTTGGTGAAAGATATTTTCTGATAATCAAGCATAAAGATTGATATAATTCTCAAAAACATATTTTTCATCATACCAGCCACGCAATGTGGATTCAATAATTAAACTTTCAGTATTCGCCAGGAACGTGTTTAATCATAACCACACTATGACAAGTAACAAAAATTGAACAAAGATCTTGTTAATTATCTGCCACAGTTATTCAACCACTTAAACCAGAACAAAGAACTAAAACGCAGGTCCAAAACCAATTCTAATCCTAAAAAAGATAGCCTATAATCACGGTGAAAAGCTATACATATTGGTGGATTATAGAGTTCATTGGAAAAGCTAGAAATTAGAGGATACAGTAGCAGTCCTAAGCTGATATACCTTGCAAATGAAATAGAATCAAATAAGTACAAAAATATTTAGAGGTCTCTCTTTTCCATTTCAGGGTTAGTGACAGGTTTAGTTTCAACAATCCTAGTTTCAATAGGTAGTGAAACATTTAACATGCTAAGGAAAACTTCATTTGCTCAGCAGCTAATCCTTTTTTTTTTTGATAACCGAGAAATCTCCGAGGACCAGCAAGCACACAGCTCGAAAGTTGGTGAGTAATGAGCCCACCCCTCTACTCTTCTCCACTTAAACACCAGGTTTTAGTCCGCGGCAGGATTCGAACCCATGACGTGCGTCTAATCCACTGATCACACATTATGCTCCTACTATTGAACCAAATTCCTGGGGCTGCTCTGCAGCTAATACTAAGACAGAGATTGCCTCCTACTTCTATATGGGGTAGACTTTGTTTCCCCTGCATTTGAAGATGATGGGCTTTCTGATGTATCTGAGCTGCTATTCTCACTTAGTCTATCTTTATTTGACCACAGTTTTGAGAACATCTTTTTCGATATCATTGAACCCTTCACTTTGCTACTATCAACTTTTTCCGCATTTGTTTTCATGTTGTTCAAGTCACTACCATTGTTACCTTCCCTGTCTCTCAATCTTAGAGAAGCAAACTCACCTTTCAGAGCTTTAAGTTCCTTGGCAGTGGGCACAGCATCCCAATCTTCGTCAGTGTTGGATGTAACAGAAGTGGAGCTCCCGTGAGATCCCACTGGGAGCAAAGCCTTAACTGATCTAGTTAGGTCGGGAGTGCTGCCACCGCCGGATGATGTTGTTGCTCTGACTTGCTCAAAGAACAGAACTTGTACAACTACTCGCAAAGGAAGGCGCTCGTTCTGTACAGCATGCATGCAGGCCTCAGCTGATAGCTTCCTGCAGTCCATCAGCCTGCAAATTCTTTTTCTCTCGCTTTTCGTAATCCCATGTTCCTACCAAAAGAAAATACTCCAAAGATCATTCATAATCCTTGATGAAAAATCCTTCACAGAAATTTGGTGTGTTTCACTAATTAACTCGATTTAATTCAGATACGTGCATAACTACTCCCTCTATTTTAATTTATAGAAGATAGTTTAACTCGGCACGAAGTTTAAGAAAAAAAAAATTCTAAAAAAATTTGTGGTCCTAAAGCTTAAGAGGTAAAAGCTTTGCAGGACCAATGACATTTGTTTAGATATAAAACCTTCTCGTTAAGGGTAAAGTGAGTAAAATGAAAAGTTTAAATTAAATTTTCTCTTTGGAATGAAAATAACTAATAAGAAAAGTGCGTCATATAAATTGAAACAGAAGTTACTAACTGTAATTCAAACAAGAGAAATGCAAAAGGATACCTTGAGATACATGTCAATAGCACGGTAAATCCCATCATGGGATGGTCTGGAGAAACCAGATACCAACTCTGCAAGATTGACAAATTTCGATAGAGGTAGATTTGGATCTCTAGCAACTTCAGCAAGGTATCCGTCAATTATCCTAGCCACCTTTACCCTGGAACGGTCTGATGCAAACGCAGGTAGTATATCCGGGAATCTATTATCTGCAGGACAATCAATCTGACCGTTCTTTTGGTGGAGCATGAACTGCTCTACAAGGTCTTGTACAAGGTCAATATCGAACATAATAGTTTCACTATCTGGAGCTCGAATTAGAAGGTCACCTACTGTTGCCTCTTCTAGCTGCAGGCCGACCCTCCTCTTCAGTTCACTTCTCACTGTTTGTCCACATTCCAACGCAATAGATGCTTGCAGCAGTCGGATCAAGAAACCACACGAAACACCATTTTTCTCTTCGGGCAGTAACCAAGTAATCGTATCAACCAGATACCGATACTTTTCAGGATCACTTCCCTGTATCTTACCCTTGCTGAATCCAGGTAGCCTTCTGTTGACATATGCTTTCAACGCTTCACCTATTGCTTCTGGAGACATCCTTCCTTTTGCATTTATGGTTGTTATGACCCGTTTATACAAGTCAATATGAAGCTCGCAAAGGTCCTCAACCCACCAGTCTTCTGGAACAAGCTGTTGCTTGTTCACTACGTCGCAGTGCAGATCAATTTCATTTTCAGATAGAAGCTTTTTATGGTTATAAGTATAAGACCAGTCCACCTTTGACGTGTCTATGGAAGCTTTAGATGCGACGGAATCCAGGCAATGACTAACGACCTTTAGTTCCTCGCACCAGGGAAGAAAAGCTTTTGTGGTCTGAAGAACAATGATAGAGTCCTTCCAGCTCCGAAAGATGCTAGATGTAAGAAAAACATCAATCTTGTAGATAAGATTTCCCTTCTCAACTGTCTCGTACATTTCCAAGTACTCTGCTGCACAACGAGCTGCAACGACATTATATGCATTCAAAGTTACTGTCATACCATAACAGAACTTTGCGCATACTTCAAAAGCAGCAGGTCCGCCAGGAATATCATGGATGTTGATTTCATCGCTGTTTTCCTCATTTGTACAGGCAACCAGCTTCTGCAAGCTATAACTCTTCGACAGAAGGGGAAACTGGAGGAAGTTGTATTGCAATCAGTGTTATCAGATAATATTTTGGCTGGAGAAGATAGTACATTTGCTATTCTCATGCAGAAAACAGCCAACAAATATGAAATGAGAAAGGCTACATACCTTGTGGAGGTAAAACTTCACATCTCCAACATTGATAACCATGTCAGTTGCCAATTCAGTTGCTACATACCTGAATATATACAAAGTTCATACATCATATGGCTAGTGAAAAACTTAGCAAACAATCTTCAATTAAAACTATCCACATCACTTCTCTCTGAAAAAGATTTCAACTAGATCAACACGGTATCAGACTATTAGCTCAAAAGAACACAACTAGATTTATAAACACCGATATCAGTACAATTGAGTTAAGAGGCATCAAAATTATCGGGCTAGAATGTAATAGACCAGATATCGAAAGCAACAAACGCCTCACTATCTATCTTGCTTTGGATATGTCTATGATAATATTAGAAAAGAGGTCAGGAACCAAGTATTAAGTCAGTGATGCAAGTTAATTCTTGTGTGATAGGTAAAGCAACTAGAAATACTTGCTTTTGGCGATACTTTTGATCCACGATAAATGAATTGCTCAAGGAAATTAATATTCAGTAGGAGCTCTTCGAAAGGCCAATAGATGTGAAAACTATAAACATAAAGGTCCAGTTAGTTTGAAAAAGGAAACATTTTTCAAGATCACAATTTTCTTGAATCATTTCCTGATGTTTGATTGTCTAAAATTGTTAAAAGCATATAGTTTCAAGAAAGATATTTAATATCTAATAGGCACGTAAGTCATTTATTGCCACTCTATGTCACATTGCTCCTACCGATGTGCAAACATTAATTTTAATTTTTGCTACTACTATCAGAATTTCAATTTTTCACTCAATCAAATAGTTGAAGATAGATTTACCATTTAAACAATGATAACCGCGTAAGCGTTTTTCATCTAACAAGCAAAATTGTACAGTATGATGTGCTTTATGTGTCTGTAATATGTGTGAGAAAGAACTTGCCTAAACGAAGACAACAAAAATTAACAGCCATAGCAATATAGTAATAAAAAAGTACATCATCTGGAAATGATTTCACATTCAGTGATTTTTAACCTTTCACAGTAGGTTATTATTTTACCAAGTAACCTATTAATCCTTATCATAGAAATTTACTCGTAATTACCTAATAAGTGATAAATGATTACCCTTTTAGGGCATCAAACTTAAACTCAGGTAGAAATAAGACATATATGCAGAATAAACAAATCCAAAAAGAAGAGTATACTGGGAAAGAACTAAACAACATTCACCAAATTAAGTCCATTATTCACCTGATATTATCTCCTTCAGTCTGAAACTGATCAGGTTTGGATCCAAGTTTCATAAACTTCATCTTCAGGGACAAATTCTCTTCACCTCCGGTATTTCAATTCGGAGCTTTCCACTAATTCAGCAAACAAAAAGAAGGAAATGACTCTTCAACTCAGAACTCGCGACGTTTAAATTCTGAATCCGCCAATGCTAGCCAATGCTAGTATTTAAATCGCAACCAACAGACTCTGCGTCTGGCAAAAAATGCTAATCATAGTTCTGAAAATCTGAGGCAACCCCACTTGCTGTCCACTGAAACCACCGCCCTTCCACTAATTCTTTATCTTCAAAATCCCTCCACTCTAAATGTTTATATATTTAAGAAAACTTCCAAATTGCCTTTTTTGAGAAAACAATTTGCAAACACCATAATCAACATTCCTCTGAAATAGAAAAACCTGTCACAGCAAAGACACATCAGAATGGTATGAAGTGAAGACCACCACTAAAATTTTCAACAAAATGCATCAACTGATTCTAGAAAATTGTACAAATATGAACAAACATACACTGCGACCCAAAAAAAGTGGTTCATATTGGCAATGGAAAAAGTAAATTCCTAAAACGTAGCATCTCAACAAACATAACACGACACTAGACGAGAAGGTAGAGTGTAGGCAGAATCAAGAAGATGAAAAGAGAGACAATACATGAGTACTATCAACAAAAAATAATAGAAATAACGACATGAAGTATAGATATATATTTAAAAAAATACACTAAAATTTCAACAAACATCAAATTCTGACCACATAATTACAATAGTCAATAATATAGTACCATGAATTCACTGTCAAGAAACTTAAAAGTCGAATCTATCAAGTTCAAACCATGAACTCTGCTTATAACACAACGTATAATGAAAACAAGCCAAAAAGAAAACCAACAAACCATCAGAAGGGCTCAAACCCCATTTGCAGAAACTGATGTAAAATCAGAAAATGCATATTTTTGTATAAAATATACGTATAATATATACATACCAAAGAAAAACTTATAGAACATGCATTGTCAAAACATAAGAGAAGAAAAATGGATTTTTTTACTATTCATTATTTAAAGGACTCACCAAAGAAGCTGTTAAATTAACTTTCATGCAGAGCAATGCAATCATCAAAATTTCAGCTACGTATGAAAAGGAAAAGAGCATTTGAAAAACAGTGCAAATACAGTGTAAAAGCATTAAGTGACGTGAAGTAAGTAGTACAACTTTGAGAGAAAATCCAAGAACCACCTTCAATTGCTCACCACTACTATTATTTAGCTATCAAAACCAACAAAAACACAAAACAACGACCCATCAAAAAGATGAGTTGTTTTCCTTATTTTTTGCCTGCCACAACACCAACACAATGTTCTCACAAAAATCCAAAGCTCAGAATGTTTCCAAAATCTTATCTTTCACTTCACTTTAGAATCAGCACCACCGCCCCCACCACCACTTCTTACTTTTTACTAATTTTCTCTTCCACTCAAAAATAGAACTCAAGAAAATTACACTCTTCCTCCCATTTTATATGATGGATTTAATATAATAAAAATGTACGAAAGAAAAAAAAAAGAAATAGTTTGAAGTTTGTAATTTAAAATACGTCATAAATATTTTTATAACTATAAAAATTGCAATAAAAAGTATGAGATAGGAAACTTGAGTTAAATTATTCGGTTAAGGGTCTGATTTGCCCCTCTACTATCATAAATAGATCTTATTTATCCTCCGTTTAAGTTTCGTATCAAAAATATTCTTGCCGTTATACATTAGGGTCATATTTACCCTTACACATTAAAAACACCATCCCTTCTTTTAAAATCCACTTGGCATCCCCTTATTGGACCAACTGACCCGCCCCATTTTTTTAATTCAAACATGCCCGATCCCAGCAACAAAACTACACACATTCATTGGTTTGGTTTTGATTTTTTATTTTAAAAATCCAATCAAATTTGGTTTGGCATTTATCTTCTTATGGAGATATATCTCAGTGTCACGAGTCAAATAACTATATTGTTATAACAACAAAGAACTAGACTAAAATGGGACGGGCTAATATGCACCATAAAAATTTAGAAATTTTATATAGATTAATAAATTAAAATAACTACTTTTATAGTTGGTTTGGTTCGATTTTTTCGGTTATTTTTTTT